TACAACAACATGGATGGAACTGGAAAGCATTATGCTGAGTGAAATAAGCCAGGTGGTGAAAGACAAATACCATATGATCTTACCTTTAACTGGAAGCTAAACAACAAAAGAAACAGGCAAGCAAAATATAACCAAAGACACTGAAATAGAGAACAGGGGGACAGTGACCAGAGGGGAGAGGGGAGGGAATTTCAGGGGAAAAGGGGAAGGATTCACAGGAACTAGTATAAAGGACACATGGACAACAACTAAGGGGGGTGGAAATGCAAGGGAGGTCAGGAGCACTAGGGGGATGAGCTGGGATGGGAGTAAAAGAAAACTGTACTTGAACAACAATTAAACAAATTTTTAAAAAATTACATGCAAAGAAAAAGAAAAAGCTGCCCAAAGAGTTCCTCTGTCCAAAAAGTAGAGAAACAGAATCTAAAACAAAGAAAGTAAAGAAGCAGAGAGAATATACTTAATGAGGTTCCTAGATCATCAATACCTATACACACAAACTAGATATGCCTTGAAAATAACTATGGAGCAAGAATTGCACAGAAATGATGTGAAAGCTACCGTTAGGAGCAGGGAAATAGTGTATACAGTATACTAGACCCTCACTATAGCTGTATGCCTCACATCTACTTCTAGATTCTATATAAGAGTTTCATGATGAATGCAAAATACACCCATGTAGGTAAATGGCATCTAACTCAAAAATGACTAAAATGGAAATTCATTTTCTTTTGGAAAGATTTTTTAAAGATTTTACATGTAAATCCTAATTCTTTGCTTCACCATAATTAATTTGTCTTAAAATGTCAAGTCACTGTCTTCAATTTCTACCTGAATAAAAGTTCTCCTTCTGGTAAACACAGGAATCCTTCCCCTATTCTAAAGTTTATCTTACCTAAATTAGTTCCACAATAAGAATGTCTGAATATCTTCCTTTGTGTAACACAGTAAGTTCATCTTTTAACATTCCAGCTGCAACTAATACTTTAAATTATTTTAATAAAAAATTTTATCATTGCCTAGCCTGGCATGGCTCAGTGGGTTGGGTATCATCCCAAAAACACAGAGATCAGAACACATGACTGGGTTGTGGGCCAGGTAGGTCCCCCGTTGGGGGAGAAAGAAGCAACCAGTGGGTATTTCTCTCACACATTGACATTTCTCTCCTCTTTCTCCCTCCCTCCCTTCCCCTCTCTCTAAAAATAAATGAATAAAAACTTTAAAAATTCTACTATGAAAACCACCTAAAGAACAAAATTTTTAAATAAGCCATAATATACGCAAAAACTGTGTACAAGCACTGTTATCTTTTTAGTTATATCAAGGACTCAAAAAAAAAAACTATCACTGAAATATGCAAAGACAATGCTGCCACCTAAAGGCCAAGATATAACATGGAAAAAAGTGTATTCAGTCAAATACTACCAATGTATTATAAAAACAACCAATTTGATATTTTAAAGTCATTGAAGTTCATATTTAAATAAAAATCCTATGTTATGATGCTACATAGCATAGATGCCACATGAAGCTCTAAAACTCTCAAGGAACCTCACTTTAATAAGAGAATGAGCAAATAATTTGGCTAATAATGTCTACACAAGTCAAACACTATTGGTATCCTTTCACATACAGTAGTCTCCCCCAAGTATGTCTATTAGTTGTTAATTAAAACATTTTTCCTATTTAATGATTTTTATATTTCCTATTTGTAATTACATATAAAATATAAATAGCTGCACAGATATTACTTGTCTTTAACCAGACCACAATTACTTCTACTTACCCTATTTAAAATATTTATTATTAAATGACTAATTACACCACTTCTCAGAGTTAAAACAACCCAAATACTTAACATTATAGTCTTTCAAATAATTCAAATAGTTTTCCTTACTTCATAAATTCCAAAAATACAAAGCAAAATTCCTATGGGAGGTTAGTTATCCATAATGCAATTGTCCAAAATAAAGCGTTCAAAGTATTCTAACTTCTTTTCTAAGAACCTAAATTGAAAAAAACTTTATTTAACTGAACTTTCTTTAATATCTGGCAGTTACTTTAAACTTCCAATGAAAGCAAATATTTATTGAACAGCCCTATATACAAAACTGCTTCCCTTGGTATTTAAGTCTACAACAACTTTTTAATAGACCACAATATTAAGAAAAAGCTAATGTGAATATAACTAGAACCTTCACAACAGTATACAGTTAAAAATATATATACATTTAATTCCTTTGGGAAACTGATGACAAAAATTTTTTAAAGATTTTATTTATTTATTTTTAGAGAAAGATGAAGACAGAGAGGGAGAGAAACACTGACTGGGGACCTGGCGCACAACCCAGGCCTTTGCCCTGACGGGGAATCGTGACTCAGACCCTGCAGTCACAGGACGAGGCCCAACCCACTGAACCATACCTGTCAGAGCCACCGACTAAAATTTTAACGTGTCAAAAAAATGTTTCTCTGCGTTTACTCAACAAATATTCCCACTACATGATAAATACAAAAAAATTAAGTTGGGTTTACCATCCTTTAATTTATCTTGAGGGTGGTGGAAATTAACAAATAATAAATACAGTCATAATCTCATAAAAAGTACTAGTTTTTAAAAATTTTTAAATCCTCACTAGAGAATATTTTATTGATTTGAAAGAGAGAGAGAGAAAGGAGAGGGGAGAGAGAATCAAGACCAATTCCCAGGTATGTGCCCTGACAGGGAAAAGAACCCGCAACCTTTGGGTGTACAGGTCGACACTCCAACCAGCTGAGCCACCCAGCCAGGGCTTTTACTGATCTCCTATGAGTCAGAGTTTATACTAGACAATTTATGGGCATTATGTCATTTATTCATTAGCCACAATGCACAAAAAGACAAGTATTAACCTCATTTACAAATGGGGCTCAGAGGGCCTAAGTAACTTTCCCAGAGTCACAAAGTAAGTGAAAACCAGGACTCAAAATTCAGTCCCCCTAACCAAGAAGATTTTACTCCCTCTACGAGATCATACTGCCTCAGGAGTGATTAATTACTTTGTACTACATGTAGTAAAGAGAAAAGTAAAACATTTTTACTATATAATTTCAGAGATAAGAATAATTCTATGTGGTAATAAAAGCATTTACTTTTAATTCATAATGTTTCAATTTTTCTAACTGGAATATTGTATTGACTGATTAGAGAGGGAGAAAGAGAGGGAGAAAAGCATCAATGTGTGGTTGACTCTCACATGCCCCTGAGCAGAGACCTGGCCCACAACCCAGGCATGTCGCATCTGCTGGGAATCGAACCCATGACCCATTGGTTCACAAGCAAGCACTCAATCCACTAAGCCACACCAGCCAGGGCTGGAATATTTTCAAAATAGCATTATCTCATTTGAATTGCTGATGGTTCTAGAAACTTTTCAAAACTTACATTAATATATGAGATGTATTTATCAAATTTTATAAACTAACTCTAAGAAACAACAAAAAGATCCCTTTATTTGGGTGATACAATAAAGCAAGTCTTCTTTGGCCCTGACCAGCATGGCTCAGTTAGTTGAGTATTGCCCAGCAAAGTGAAAGGTCATGGTTTGATTCCCAGTCAGGGCACATGCCTGGGTGGTGAGTCCAGTCCCCAGTTGGGACGTGAGTGAGAGCCAACTGATCAATGTTTCTCTCCCTTTCTTTCTCTCTCCTTTACCCTCTCTCTAAAAGTAAACAAAATCTTTTAAAAAAAATACGAGTCTTTGTAAATATGCTATATATTCAAGACAACTTTGCCTGTTTTTAATTTTTTTAATCCCCAGCCAAGGACATGTTCAATGATTTTAGAGATAGTGGAAGGGAAGGAGAGAAATATCAATGCAAGAGAGAAACATCAATCAGTTGCCTTTAATAGGTTGCCTTTTGTAGGAACCTGCCATCTAGGCACATACCCAAACCAGATATTCAACCCGCAACTTTTTGGTTAATGGGACTGCACTCCAACCAACAGTGGCCAAGGTGACCTTGCCTATCATAAAGTACACTTTTTTTCAGCATTGGAAACTCTATTAGTGCCTCCCTAGTAACAACCTTCTCCATTAACTTGTACTATGTGTCTACCGAATCAAAATTAAATGAATTTTGAGTGTTATTCAGCCCTAAAAAAGAAATGAAGCTCTGACACAAGGTACAACAAGGATGAACCATGAAAACATTCAGCTAAGTGAAAAAATCCAGACAGAAAACCATATACTGTGTAATTCCATCTATATGAAATGTCTAGAACCAGCAAATCCATAGAAACAGAAAACAGATTACTAACTGCCAGGGCCTGAAGGAAGGGTAAATGATAGGGAATGATGGCTAATGAGCACAGAGTTTCTTTCCATGGTAATGAACATATTCTAGAATCAGTGAAGATGATTGTACAATTTTGTGAATATACTAAAATCAATGAATTTACATTTTAAAAGAGTGAGTTGTATGATATGTAAATTATATCTCAAAATAAAATTAAATGGTTTTAAGTATATCACATACAAAACACGAAGTGTAAATAATTTACACATGTGTGTGCCTAAAATATAAAACCTATGTAGCTACCAAGATTATCTACCACAATTTATGGAATCACCATTTTTCACCATACTTAGTGAAAAGCTCTGTTTCACAAGTATACATATTCCTGAATATTATAAATCCTAACTATCTAGTAATAGTGTAATCTCTAGGGGAGTCAGGAAGGACTACAACCACATATTTATTATGTTTTACAACTAAAATTTAATTTTTCCCAATATATCTGAATTAGCTGACTGTCATGCAAGTGCCACATACAAGCACCTATACAATTAGAGCATCAATTTATAAAATCATTGTGTGGAATGAATTATTGCTTTTACATAGGATTTGCCTCTAAACCACCAAAAAATACTAAGCAGAAGAAAATTTATAAGGTAAATTATAAGAAATTTAAAAGTTAGAAACAAAACAAAAAACACAAGGATGCCATTTGTACTTACTAATTTGTTTTCCTGCATGTATATTCTTTGTAATTTCAGGCAGCCCTTGGCTATGACGATCATGCCTTCATCGGAGATCTTGTAACACTGGCCGAAATGAATATCTTTCAGTTCTCTGCATTTTGAGCCCAGCTGTGAACAAAAAGATTTGGTTAAATGCTTAGAAAATTTAAAAGGCAACATATTTCTTTTTTTTAATTATTTATTTATTTTTAGACAGAGGGAGGGAGAGTGGGAGGGAGAGAAACATCAATGTGTGGTTGCCTTTCGTGCACCCCCTACTGGGGACCTAGCCCGCAACCCAGGCATGAGCCCTAGACTGCAAATCAAACCAACAACTGTTTGGTTCACAGGCCAGAACTCAATCCACTGAGCCACATCAGCCAGGGCTTTATACAAGTTTTTATAGTATAATCCAGTTTTACAAACAAATTGTGCATATTTAAATATACATATAAACATATGCATATAGAAAAGAAATAAAAATATACAAGGTGTTAATATTGGTTAATCTAATTAGTATGATAATGTATGGTATTGTTTTTGTTTTTTCTGCCTATCCATCTCATATTTTCTTAAATATTACTTTTATTATATCTTAAGAACCCTGAAATACCAATCCAAAACAAACTATGCACCCCAATGTTCATAGCAGCAAAATTTACAATAGTCAAGTGCTGGAAGCAACCTAAGTGCCCATCAGTAAATGAATGGATCAAAAAACTATGGTACATTTACACAATGGAATACTACACAGAGAAAGAAAGAAGGAGCTCCTACCCTTTGCGACAGCATGAATGGAACTGGAGAGAACTATGCTAAGTGAAATAAGCCAGGTGGTGAGGGACAAATACCATATGATCTCACCTTTAACTGGAACATAATCAACAAAAGAAAAAAGCAAACAAAATATAACTGGAGAAATTGAAATTAAAAATAATCTAACAATAGCCAGAGGGGACGGGGGAGGGGATAATGGGAGTAAGGGCTTTCAGGAACTACTATAAAGGACACATGGACAAAACCAAGGGGGAGGGTGGAAGCAAGGGAGGGAAGTGAGTTTGGCTGCGGTTGCAGGGAGTGGTGGGGGGAAAATGCAGATAACTGTAAATGAACAACAATAACCTAATTTTAAAAATAAATATTGCTTTTATAATAAAACCTTTCAAATTCTGTTTCAAGTACTGATATTCTCAGAAAGGTAAGTGATTTTAGTTAGTTTCTAGGGATGGTGGTATATATAAACTATGTATTTTAACATAGGCTACACTATAACCAATTATCTATTCCACTAGATATAGAAACTCCATGAAGATAAAAGTTTGTTTTGTTAACTAATATATCCCTGATGCCAGCCGGTGTCCTACACTTAGTTGATACTTAGTACATATTTGCTAAATGAATGAAAGGTTGATCAGGTTGCACACCCTGGAAGCCACTTTGAAAAATGTGGACAGATATAGGAGACCATGATTATGGTCTCATAATGTTCCAGTTAATTCAGGAGTTCTAAATGGGGTACACAGGTAGAATTCAGAGTGAATGAGAAAAAAAAAGGACTCCTTTATTTTCATACTATCCTCTCTAAATCAACTTTAGCCTGTCACCTATTTACGTAAGGGGAAAAAACAGTAGTTAGCAGTACACGGGACTTGGTAAACAACAGAAACCAAAGACAATTTCATATACTATTACTGCGTTGCAAATACAATGAAATACCATTTTTATTCATCAGTATTCATCATGTTCCTTAGATCCACTACCAGATCTTATAATGCATTAAAAGGTACGTGTACGTCTAGAACAAATGTACGATTGCACATTACTTAAACCTGAGAAAGCTGGATCCAAAGCCAATTAGGAGAGAGGCACAGAAGCAACTTGATAATCCCTACAGAACTGCCAATAGGCTCACAAGTGTCTGGCTGTGAGGGAGAGGTTGGTTCTAAAACCACAGGATTCTTGAAAGTCTGCTTTAGGGTTGTTAAGTATTCAGATCACCTCCCATTACTGCACAGACTGACCTTGCCAATCTTCCACCATAGTAAAACCCTGCAGTTCACTGGGTAGAGAAAAACACTGGGTCTTCGGACTGGGATACCTGAGAGCAAAAGCACAGTGCTGAAAAGGTGGGCATAATGTGAAAGCTTATACAATGAATATGGAAGATTCAAAAAATTAATTCTATAAAATGTTCCAGGATGAAAGACTACAGACATCCAGACTGAAAGGTCTGACTCATGTGTTCAGCACAAAGGACAAAAATAGACCCATGGCAAGGCAAACCATCAAAAAATTTCAGAACTATAAGTATAAAAAAGATTCTACAGACTTTCAGAAAGAAATAGACTTCATACAAAGAATTTTTTTAAATTTTTTAAAGGCATCAAATTTAACAACAAAACTGAAAGAAAACAATACGTCAATGCTATCAAATTCTAAAGAAAAATTATTTCACACCTGGAATTCTATACTCAGTATTCAGACTATGAATTAAATGTGAGGGCAGAAAGGAGAGATTTCAGACATGCAACTTCTTAAAGATTTACCTCTCATACATTCTTTGTCAAGAAACTATTAGAGTCTGTGCTGAACAAAACATGACAATAAGCCAAGAGAAAGAAGACATGACATTTGAATAATATGTCTAATAAAGTAGCAAGATGAGGAATGTCTTAAGGATAATGGTGAAGGTTGAGATACTAAAATGACCACTAATATAAGGGTATTTATATACAAGAAGTCTATCATGCAGCCTTCAGACTATGCCAGGAAGCTCTGCTTTAAGAAGATAAATTTTGATGAAGCATCTACATATAGATATACCAATACAACTGAGGAAAAGCTTTGGCTCCTTTAGTGTTAAAACTACAAAAATTAAACAGGCTTTTTCCAATCTGCTATCTGTGATGGAATCATGGCCAAGATGCAGATTTTCATGAAAATCTTTATGGGGAAGACCATCCCTCTTGAGGTTGGAACCTCAGATACAATATGAAATGTAAAGGCCAAGATCCAGGGTAAGGAAGGAATTCATCCGGATCAGCAAAGACTGATCTTTGCTGACAAGCAACTGGCAGATAGACGTACTTTGTCTGACTACAACAAGACGAAAAGGCATCCCCTCTTCATCCTGTGCTGAGATGCCATCGTGGTGCTAAGATAAGGAAGAAGTGTCACACCACTCCCCAGAAGAATAAGTATACAAAAAAGGTTAAGCTGACTGTTCTGAAATACTACAAAGTGAATAATGGCAAAATCAGTTGCCTTCATCAGGAGCGCCTTCAGATAGAATGTGGTGCTGAAATTACTATACCAGCCACTGGGACAAACATTATTTTGGCAAAAGCTGTCTGACCTATTGCTTCAAAAAAAAAAATGAAAGGACAAGTCATTGTATTTGGGTTAATAAAAAACAGGACAAAAAATAAAAATAAACTGAACGGGAGGGACACTTGCTAATTTCAATAAAAACAAAATTCTACAGAGAAAAAGATAGCTACATAATTGTAAAATGTAAACACTGAATACTTGTTTAACCAAAATTATAATAGAATTATGTTTGGAAGATGAGAGGAAAGGAGACAGGGAAAGAGGATAAATGCTCAGCTTCCAAGCAAGGAATCAGTACAGATGTTCTAAAATGAATAAATCAAGAAAATGCAGACATGGAAGGAAAATGCTTCTTCTCTCCTACTTCCTTCTTCTGGAGGAAGTTTGATTAATCTAATTCCTGGTCTCTTCACTGGTTAGTTTATGTTTAATAAACTGTACATGTTTGGATAATTTCTACTCTTCTTCATCTTGGGAACAAACTGCCCACAGGAAGCAAGCAATCTCCACTTCTACATGGGCAAGCTCCTCTACAGGGCTGGCCTACCTGATGATAAGAGAGTCAGATAGCCAAACTCTAGCACTGAGTCAGCAAACTCACTTAACTCTATTACTAAGAACATTTTCTAATGTATCCTTTCTAAGTAATAAAGTTGATTCTTTTCCTCTGTCACTATTCCTGTATCTTATTTGTCAATTTGATCAGATCCTAGGCAATAAAGAGACCTTAATACTTAAGGCACCATGAAGGTTCATTGAGAAATAGAACTGGATCCAGCACTGGCTGGTGTGGCTCAGTGGAGTGAGTACCAGCCTTCAAACCAAAAGGTTGCCAGTTTGATACCGGCTCAGGGCAGATGCCTGGGTTTCAGACCAGGTCCCCAGTTGGGAGCATGCGAGAGGCAACAGATCCATGTATCTCTCATGCACTGATGTTCTTCTTCCTCCCTTCCCCTCTCTCTAAAAATAAATAAATAAAATGTTTTTAAAAATAGAAGCTATATAAAAGGCATGAATAAGATATTCTGTAGGGTCATCAGTGTGTGAAGAGAGCTTGGTAGAATCTAATGTTGAGACAGGTCAAGTCATACTGCTACAGCCTGGGAGACAGATTTAAGCAGATTACATCATGTTTTGACCTTAGCAAGTGGTTTTCGTGGCTTTATCTACAGACAACTTTCCACAGAAGTAGGGGCCACAAGAGTAGCTATACACAGAAAAGAACCACGTGGCTGGCCTCCATATACACCAGCAGCATGGGAACCCAAGCAACTTACTAAGGAAAATTATGTCATTTATAATTATAATTACTATCATTTAGTATCACTGCAGAAACTGATGTTGTTTTAGATGTCTTCATGAGACATAATAGGCAAGACTGCACATGCATCAGTGCCTATCTGCACTAATCACCACTGTCCCAACCACAAATGTGCTAATGTTCCAGACTATCCAGGCACTACAGTCAATCATTACACCCAGTATATTTCCCAATTTTGCTGATGTTCAAATCTCTCAATGATGCAACTATATGTCTATCAGCCACAAAAAAAATATTCATAGGACACCAACCAAGCCTTATATGAATATCCCTGTCAACATGCCCTGAATTTAACACTATTAGTTGTCTAAAAAACAGCAGTAGCAGTGGTGGTGGTGGTAGTAGCAGTATAACTTCTAAATATAGCATTCTCTACTCAGGAAGGGAGTATTAAAGACATTGTAGGTCTGACCCTGCCAAAATAGAAAGATCTTTTTTTAAAGATTTTATTTATTTAGTTTTAGAGAGAGGGGAAGGG